AGTTGTAAACAGTGACCTTTACAATTTTCTTCGCGATTTTCACAAGTTGCAATTTTTTCAAAAAATTTTAAACACGTCATCTAGTATACTAATCCTTCTAACTTCTCAAAAAAACTCAAGTTGTTTGATCCAATTTAAAAAAAAAATTATACTGTTCTAAAGAGTGTCCGAATATTAGTAAGAGTCACCGTATGCACACCGGCGCGATATCTCACAATGGCATTGCCATATGATTAATTCTTGTCATTTGATCTATCGGGGTATTGAAAAATAAAATTGGAAACAAAATGAAGAATTGAAATGAAATATTCTGTCGTTATGAAACAGCAATCGTTATGTGCATCGTTATCGACGATGCATCTTTACGGATATTTAAAGAGAAAGGTGCACATGAATAGCAATTACGAAACAACCATTTGTTCTGTTAATCGTGAGAGTAATAATCTCCTACTGGTTGCTACGCTTCATCTTAATTTCTGTTGTTACGCAGTAACTCGATAGTTGAACAGGATCCTACTTGAAAGTCACTCGGTGTCGTTTTCTCGCGGTTTTCATTCCCGGTTTACATATTATTATATCCATACGAACCGGTTTCATACGTTATACGCGTGGATCGAGGCGAGGTAATATCGGGCGATTCGGTTTGGCAAGCGATTTCGGAAATATCCTCGCTTATTAACTTAATTGCCCACCTCAACCTTGCACTTGTCGCGTCGAATTGTGTTCAAATTCGAAATAACAGGCTTGCGGAAACGAGAGGAGAAATATACAAGGTCGGATTTACATAAACGTTATTCAGAGGCGACTGAAATCTGTTGATCTGCTGATCCACATATACATATGTATGTGCATATAATAACGTGAACCAGAATAAGGTTGGACAAGATTATCTGAAATGTTTAAATAATTATGCGCGCATAATTCGTTTATGTATTGGGAGATTAGCGTGAGAACAGTAGTATAGTATAGATATAGAGAATGCAGCGATCAAACTAGTGAATATAGAAATACAACAATAGCTATAGTAGTATAGTAGATACAATAACTGTGCTAAATATCACGGCTATTGTAGATATAGCGATATAGTAGTATGGTGATTATAGCAGATATATTATAGTAGAACAGTGATTATATTAGATACATTAGTACAGAGACTATGGTAGACATCGTAATACAGTGACTCTATCGTAGATATAATGGGTATAGTGATTATAGTAGAGATATAGTAACAACAACAGTTTACTACGCACGGTAGATCTTGCAATACAGTAGCTTTAAATACTGCAATTAACACAGTAATAAGAATAACATAATTGGTATAGTTGAAACGATTAATCGACTGTGACATCAGGTACGGCTGTTGTATCCAAAGTCAGGCTACGTGGAAATTGATCCAGATGAACTATGGAGCACCATAGTGAACGTGATAAAGAACAGTTTGAAAGGTAGGGTGCAGTAATTGAGGACAATCAGTCGAAATTACACGGTTTCAAAGAATTGAATTGTTTCCTTCTCAGAGATGGTGGATGCCGGTTTGAAACTGGAATCGATAGCCTGCCTCGGGATCTCCACGCAACGGGGCAGCTTCACAACGTGGAACATGAAAGACGGAAGACACTATCACAAGTACAGTATAGTAACTGCTGTTGTCCGTTTCGATATGCAAAAACTGGAATCTCACGTTGCAGCTTCATCACGTGGAAAGACCTGCGCGCTGACGGCATGGTGAAGGAATGGAATTCGTCGATAACGATGAAAGGATTGCAAATCGGATCACGGATACTCTACACGCTGTCGAGGAGGAAACGATTCTTGGCCGCCAGTGTTTTTAAATTCATGAACACGCAGGTTCGCGTCTCTTCTACGCTCTAAGGTCTGAGAGAACGACATAGTAGAATTATACCGGGTGTATCATATGTAGTTGTGTAAACTTTGATCAGAGCGAATGTGCTACGGTAAAAAGTTGAAGTGAAACGCAAACGTAGGTTGACAAAAAGTCTATTAAAAAGTTATAGCTGCGGTGCTCCCTTGACATTTGATGTTTTTACAACTTCCCAATGAAGCATTCGCGCTCGTACATTAGTATGACCCTTTTGTTTCATTTTAGAACGTTGAACACATTGATGTTTGTTTGCACGAAAACCTTTGAAGCACCCTGTATATGCCCATTTTGGGATAAAATTGGAAAATAATTTTAAGAATTTGTTTCTTAACGGTTTGATTTACTATTCTACACCGTGTGATATTATTTGTAAAGTTTCTGTTAATTTTCCTTTTCTTTCATTTAATTATAGTTTCGTTTTTATTATTTTCGTCATACTGATTTCATTTAGATGTCTCTGAGGTTATTGTGGGCGTTACAACACGTGCCAGGTTTGCAGGAGGCGGCGAACACCGGAAATGTCGTTTTCGGGGGCGTTGATTGCTGGCTTTTGTACAAACTCACTGGTACTACACAGAATTCTCACAAATTTCTATTCTTCAACGCGACACACTTTAAGTGCCCAAGTACAAACCATATCCGTGAAATGGAATTGTTACGATTTCTCCTTTATTTCATCGTTTATCTAACAGATTTCATCCGTTTGAATTTTAAACAAATTTTCACGTAGAACGATCATCCTAAATGACGCATTGTTTTTCTAGGAAAACACGTGACAGACGCTTCGAGTGCATCAGCAACGGGACTTTTCGATCCATTCACAATGTGCTGGTCAGGTCTGGTGATAAACATGCTGAAAATTCCATGCAGTATCTTTCCAGAGGTGTTGGACACCGCTGGAAACTTTGGAGTCACTCCAAAGGAGATTTTTGGAATCGAGATTCCAATACTTTGCTCAGTAAGTTGTATCATTTTATTCGTTATGGTGAGTCACTGTGATCGAAGTTCCCTTATTCTACGCTAAATGATGTTGAATATTAATTTCGAAATTAACTGTACTATTTAAAGTAGATGGCAGATCAGTCAGCTGCGATGTTTGGTTCAGGATCCACGCAGTCAGGTGATTTGAAGATCACTATGGGAACTGGAACTTTTGTGAACGTGAATACAGGGACCAAAGCTCACGCCTCTGTTACAGGTAATCTTTGTAACTTCGTCAAAAAGCAGATATTCGTAGAATTGAAAGAAATATTTCTGATCATTTCAACAGGTTTATATCCTCTAGTCGGTTGGAGAATAAACGATGAATTAGTATACATAGTAGAAGGCGCCTCAAATGATACCGGAGGTCTCATTGAATGGGCAAAAAGAATAGGTAATGTCTACTAATTGTTCTTTAACCCTTTCGCTACGGCACGCTTGTAACAGAAAGTGCTTGTTGTGTACTGGACGAAATAGTTACTATTCAAAGCTGGCGTAACAATAAAGATACGTAAGATTAAAGATCAACTGTTTCGTGACAGTCAAACATCTGGTGCACTCCGGTATTGTCTGACTTTCAGTAGACAGCGATATTTCATTCGTGAAGTACGAAAACAAATGAATTAATTGTATGTACATATTGGTATATACAGGAGCGTATATACAGGATGAGTCACATAAAACGTGACAGCTCGATATTATCGAAAATATTGGTGATGCAAAAAGTGTTGCTAAGAAAACCTAAAGTATTCTAGGGGGCAAAATTTTTCGCGTAATTGAATCTTTTGTATATGAAAGGATCAAGGACATTTCAAGGTCATCACCTTTTTTATTAAACGCTACTATATGTTTTTTAATACACATAAGTATAGTCCACATCAAGATGAATTCAACGATTATAGTCACCCAAGATCACTCAAGGTCACAGGTAAAGAAAGAGTCGTTATATCTTTCTAACTGTATCATGGATAGAGCGCGGAAGTCGAGTACCATGGCTACCGCGGTCGCCAGATCTAACTTCCCTGGATTATTTTCATTGGGGATATTTAAACTAAAGAGTAATGTTATCAGTTCCTGCAACGCGGGATAGCATAAAAATTGAGATTGCCACGAAATGTTTACAAGTGAGAGGCCAACATTTTCGACATCTGTTGAAATGATTGTAAACATTGTAAGAACGACACTTTCTTTACCTGTGATCTTGATTGACCTTGAGTGAGTATAATCGTTGAATTCATCTTGATGTGGACTATACTTACGTGTATTAAAATATATACATATATGTAGTTCTATTTAATGAAAAAGGTGATGACCTTGAAATGTCCTTGGCTCTTTCATATACAAAAGATCCAATTACGCGAAAAATTTTGTCCCCTAGAATACCTTAGGTTTTCTTAGCAACATTTTTTTCTATCACCAATATTTTCGATAATATCGAGCTGTCACGTTTTATGTGACTCACCCTGTATGTATACGCTCTTCGTAAATGAGTGGCCACTTTTACAGAGTGTATGTGTACGCCCTTCGTAGTGAAAGGGTTAAGGATAATTAGAGCTTCTTTGAGCTTATATTGATTTGCTAGAGTTTTGAAAAATACAGCTTGTTTCAGGTATCATAAACGATGTTGATGAAACATCGAGTGTCGCAAGCGCGATGAATGATTCTGATGGAGTGTATTTCGTTCCTGCATTCAGTGGACTGCAAGTATGTTGAAAATATTTTTCGAGGAACACTCGCAAAATATTACATCAAGCTTAGAAGATCGTTACAAATTAATTGCTAGTGTTGTTCCTTCGTTTATAATTAATTTACAGGCACCTATAAACGATTACTCCGCAGCCACAGGATTCATAGGCATAAAACCCACCACTGAGAAAAGTCACATCGTTCGATCGCTGTTAGAAAGCATCGTTTACAGGATATTGCTCCTCTATGAGTCACTATGCGCGGAAACTTGCTTCACTTACCATACAATACGGTTAGTAAATTTAATTTCCTATGAGAATCTTTTATCACTTTCTCGTTATTTTGACACTAATGTTTAAAAAATTCAAAATAAAATACTGCTTCAAGGTTTCAAGATTGCAATATCGTGGCGAATCTTTACCAGTTGTAATTTCAATTGAAAATTCTAACGTTTTCTATTTCCGATTGTAAATGGAGAACGTTATACTCTAAATAATTGGTGTACTTTGCCACAGGGTCGATGGTGGAGTGTCCAGGAACGATTTCATATTGCAACTGCTGGCTGATTTGACAGGCTTAAAGGTGGAACGAGCGACAAGCACGGAAATGTCTATTTTAGGCGTAGCGTTTCTCGCTGGTCTACAATGCGGTATGCAAATCACACAGGCACTGTAGAATACAATGGCTTTCACCTAGTTTCATACTGAAGTGCACCTGTACTGAATATTTCAATATTTAACGACAACTTAAACGTTAATTCCTGTTAATTCCGGTTTATTAAATTTATTTCATATACTAAATTATTTCGATTATTCAGAGATGGGTGAGCAAGTTATTATTAAATAATGTAGAACAGTGCAAGCTATTTTACTCTACTTTTCCTATACAATAACAGAGAAAGTATTAAGTATCATGCTCGCTTAATTCTACTTTCTCGCATAATGTAACGTGCTCGAGGTCTCATAATTTGAAACCATATATTTCTGTTCCTTCTCCCTATTTTCTTACAGTCTCACTTTTCAGCGCGCAGTAAATTATACATCAAAACTATTAATTCATAACGCTTGAAATATTACATGAAAACTCGAGCAATAAATTTTTAGACGTGATGCAAATTGTAAATTGTTTTATGCAATGTTTCAAAGATAATAAAATTAAATCTGATTGTGAATATTGGCCAATCCTATATATTATACATATAGACGAAAGTTTGCTTTACATTTTAATATGTCATTTTATTTTATATGAATTTAATTTATTTTCCAGGCATTTGGAAGAGCAGGAAAGAAGTTCTCCATCTTCGACAAGTACAGAAAGTATTTCTGTCGAACGAAGAGAACAGAACATTGTATCAACCGATAATTGCACAATGGAAACGAGCTCTCCAACGACTGGGTCAATGGTACTGAATAAACTGCTGATATCTGCCATAATTGTTTACTGGGAAAATAAATGATAAGAGAAATTTATTAACAGCTTTTGCACCAACATGTACGCTGATAATTGTTACGAATAAACATTATCAAATTTTCGAAAGCAGACGATAATATTTTGTTTCTGCATTTACTTATAATTTTTTATATCTATTTTCTTTGTTTTCTTTTTTGTTTATTTATTATTTTTGCATTTTTTTTTTAAATCTTCTCTTTTGTACACGTAATAAAAGGGTCAAATATATAAATATTATAAAAGGAATGTGTAAGTCATTACCAACTGACTAAGAATTTCATTTTAAACAGTTGTTACATTCCGATGTTTAGTATTTTAAATTAATAATTTTATTCTATTAAAGTTTTGTATACGAAAGTCTTACAAGTTTTAAAGCACTTAAACTATAGTTTCTATACAGAACTGTTTGGTTTGTAGCGATTCTTCTATGTGTCTAGCTCAGGATCTTCGATGTCAATTCGTACTAATTCTTAGCGTATCCTTAACGAAGAGTTGGAGGTTTGATTTTAGAGATAGCGGGAGTAGGAAAAGGTCCCGTAGGCATTCTTGGATATTATTAGGAGTTGATGAGTAAGAGGTTTAAGCGTATGACTCGGGGTTGATGAGTAACATATTCAAGGGTTGTATGCGTAGGGTAAAGTTGCCTAATATTGCACCCATTTCTTTACAAAATCATAACTTTTGACTAAGAACACTTTTATTAAAATTCGATACATTTTTAAAAGTAACATACATATGTATTTTTTTTTATTTATTATGTATTAT